GTGCTCTTGACTGTACAACGTCTGATATTGGCTTGAGGCCGCTAGAATTGTATTCCTCCCTGAAACTTTTGTCAGTTCTGCCTATGAATTTTCCAGGTAATTATGATATTAATACAAAGATTGAACACAAAGAAAAATTCCTTCGCTCGGACTGGATTCGACGCTGAGGACGACCGCTTTACCAATTGAGCTACAGATCGAGTCAGCAGACGCAAATCAAGGCACAGTAGGTTCGTTAGACCCTTTCATCTGAGATTCCTTGGACCCAGGTGGATACGAGCCAGTGCCTTGCGAATTTTTCTATGTGCTTGTTGCAGATCTATGTTTTTGGTTTTTAACTAAGCCGGGTCGAAGGAATTTTTCTTTGTGTTCGATCTTTGTACCTATTAATAATTATAACAAACTTGAGTAGTAATTTCACAAAAAAAATAAATGAATATCAAGGTAGTAAAATAATGGTAATATTAAGTATTATGGGATGCCTCATCGATATATGCATATTTTTGAGTGTTACCCAAATTGCCCACTAAAGGATTGAGGAAGGTGAAAGGGAGGATGTCCATAGATTTGCTTTTATGACTGATCAAAGGTAAAACCAGCGAGCCGTCCACTGTTCACACCGAAAGAGGTCAGTACCGATTAAGTGCTTTCAGAATTATTCTACGTGTAATATGAACAGGCAGCATTAATAAACAAAGTAGGAATGTACAATCTAGAAAAAGAGTCACAGATATTGGTAATAGGTAGGTATCTGTCGTGAGATAGAGCCAAAATATCATATACTGGAGGTCGAGACATGAAAACCGTAAATTAGACAGAGAAAACAATAAATATGGGAAACCACCAGCAGGACACGGCATTGAGAAATACAGAAAGTCTATGATCAAATTTTAACCGGTATCAATCATTTGATATAATGAAAAACTAAAATAGGTACAGTTACGTGGAGGATATCTAAAGTAGGTACGAACAGAATTTTAATGAATTCTGACAAATAGCTCCACGGGTTTAGGTGAAGAAGGTGTTGGCCCGATACGGGTTTCGAAATTAATTGTCCTTGAGGAATTCTTTGAATTTTTTCCGATTTTCTGGTTTCATCGCGATATTTTTATTTACTATTCCAAGCACAATTATCTAATTATTCAATATGAACATTAATCAAACAGACATAGAAGTCGAATGCAAATTAGGTGCGTAGGTTAGTAGGGACTAGACATGTGCCGCGCCGCCGCCGCCGCGCCGCTTATGAACTTGACCGGCGTAAAATCGGCGTGGCAAAATTGGTTCTATTTTATATAATGAAGTGTCATCTTCTTAGTTATTTTAATATAATATTTCCATGTAATTCAAATCAATTATAGAGTTTCTACGTATATCCTAGACAGATTAGACTAGATTTAAATTAAGAGCGTTTATTTCTAGGGGATTGTTTTTTTTACAAACATAAGTTACTTACGGTGTAAATAAACGCTGAAAATGAATTCAAAGATTGATTTAAACAATGTTTTAGTGTTATTTTTTTAAACAGGTATAAGGTTTCATATGCAGGTTAGTTTTATTTATCTAATTTCGGTGGCAAACGTATCTATTGGGAAATAATTAATATTTCAGGATTCTACACTTAAGTGTTAAATAATACTTCATGGTAATATTCAATAATAAAAATTTCCACCGAGATGGAGAAAATTTACATGAAAATTACCCATAAAATATATGCCACGCCGATTTTACGCAGATCACGCTGCCCGTGCTGCCGCATGTCGAAAAACACCAGACGACGCCGCCATCGATTTTACGATAGGCGCACATCTCTAGTTGTGATCACGTTCATTACATTGGAGCTTTAGTGCTCTAGGCATGCCAAGCCACTAGCCAAGTGTGGTAAAAGTTGTACTTTTTGGGTAGATTTTTATTTATTTTATTTTTTTTTATTTATGATAACTTGTTACATTATTAATTCATAATAGATAGACTTGGCCATTGGGCTGTGGGTATATAGTATGAGGTACATAAAGGAACACAATATAAAACTACAATTTTTTAACTAAATTTAAAAAATAAACAAAATCAATTAACATATTATATGTATATATATTATATATAATATACATATATATATTTAATTACTTTGTATTTATTTTTATTGAAATCCTTTTTTATTTTCAAAACTATTCATTTAGAAATCCTACAATAGCATTTAAGTCCAGTTTCAATACTGTTATAGTTCAGACTAGTTACAGAATTCAAAACGTACATCGACATCACAACTGCTTATTCCTTTATTAAATATATTAAATTTAAAATTGGTTACTTTTTCCATATTATTGTTTCTAATATACATAATATTCTCTAAACCATAAAACTTGAATGCATCTAACATAAGACTTTAGATCAATTTTAAAACATATATAACAATTACGATTCTTATTTTCTACAATACATAATTTTTTTTTCACTTATAGGTAGGTATTTCTGATTATAATTTCCTTCGTCATTGGCTCATTGACGAATTACTTTTAATAATTTTGTTGAACAGTTTGTTACCTACGTTGAAGACTGCCTTGAAAACGGCATGTTCACGTTAAAAACGCTGGCCTAACACCCATTTGCTCAAACGTCCATTAACTTTAATGCCCCATTAAGTAACGTGCTGACTCTAGTGTTGCTTCGATAAAGTATTATAGTTGATGACGCTTTGGTACTTGGTACTTGGTGTAACGGGCTGGTGTCCGCAACTCGATGATGACGCTTTAAAAGATCTTATCTGTAACTCGCTGTATGATATTCGGCACTCCTATACAGAAAAGGCCTTTTAAATGATATTGGATTTTACTTATATTTTTGATATCCCCGCTAAAGTGTTCCGCGATTTAATCCCAAAATTAAAAAGGTTCATACGAGATCATAAAAATGCATAAGATTGATAAAATAGGAAATGAAAGTAGGTCGTACTTACGCAAAGAACTTCTTGCACTCGGGAACTTTTGCGAGTCGTTAGGAACTTCCAACTTATCAAGTGATAAGTTGAAGACGAATTTGCGGGCCCGCCGCTTCAAGAACATAAAAATATATCATCTTCATAACTTTCATACCTATTGTTCCTTAGATATTAAGAAATTGCCTTAATTAAACCCAAAAATACTTAGATTCCTTCTAGGGTTTTTCAAATTTATAAAGTGAGTTTTCTCTTTTTACCTAATTTCGGTGGCGACTTTTATTATTTAAGTATACGGGTATAGTATAGTGAAATATTAAGTAATATTGTAAGTTACACTCGAATATTAAATAAAACTTTATGATTATATTCTAGACTATTGAAATAATAAAAATTGCCGCCGAAATTAGGTACAGAAAACTAACCTGAAAATTACCCATAAATTAATATTTATACTCAACGCGCATAAATATAACGACTGTTTTAAAATAAACATTTTCGTAAAAAATGTGTTTACTTACATAGTTTTATTTATCAAAACATTTAGAAGGCATTTCATAGGTAACTTAATTAACGACAAAATTCCGTTAGACATAATTTAAAAAACGTTTGAAATACTTCTACACTGATTCATTTGGCTGCGAATTGGCTAACGATAAGTGGGTAAGTCAGATTAGTTTTCTCTACCCAATTTCGGTGGCATTTATTATTATTTAAATGTTCTAGAGTATTATATTATCTATTATCTAGTTCCATGCTGATCTGGAACTAAAAGAAAAACCTTACTTTTATTATCTTTCTTTATTATTCTCTTATACTTATTATCTCGCGCAAGTTGTAAAAGTCGACTGAGGTATTGAGTTTAATAGTGTCCTATATGTAGGTGACAGTCTGGCAACCTGTCATTATGGTGCACTAAGTTACACAATATAGTATACAATGTTAGCCCAAACATTTGTCAAATGTGGCTTTAGTTGCACTGTGTCACTTAAAGCTCTGCCTACCCCTATATGGGAACCCAAAGGCGTGAGTATATGTATGTATGTCTAGAATATTATCATGAAGCATTATTTAATATTCGAGTGTAAAAATCTGAAATATTATTTAATATTTCACGATAATATACTCGAAAACTTAAAATAATAAATATTGCCACCGAAATTAGGTAAAGAAATCTTACCTAAAAATTACCCAAAGTCCAGGTGTCAGGAAGTTATTTGAAAGTTAATTTAAGATACCTAGTGATATGGATAGTTGTGATTGTGTCACGAGATAGTGAATAAAACAGAAAAAGCCTAAAAAAACTGAAGAATAGTACTCCCAAAGACGAAACATAAAGGGAGTTTGTTAACCATTTTGTTATGCAAACGATTAAAAGTTTCTAAATACGGACGTAGCAATATTTTCCTTCAACTTTGCGAATATCTTTGGTGTTTCCTGAAGACATAATTGCGTCTTTATCTTGTTACATAAAAGTTTCAACGTCTTTTAAGCTCGGTTCTTTTCAATATTCGTTCCGAAGTATAGTCAGAATAATCATTGAGTCTACTGTCTAGAACTAATTTTTACTTTTTTAGGTACGGTCGCGCTCCATTTTTTCTATAAATTTTTACTTAACTGTTCGTTAACATGACTTAAATGTATGTATATTTTTAACTACCAGAATTGTCTAGAAGAATAAAAAACATATTATCACAACACATACTCAGTACACAGGTTGATATACCCAAAAACATAGCAACATGAAAATCGTATAGTGCACGAAAGCAAAACTGAAACTATTTCGTTACTGTATACTTTATAGTAATTTGGCATATTTTCTATCAAAACAGGTGGCCCTCGAATTTTCTTCAAAATATTTTATACAGTGTAAGATATATATAATATTACAAAGTAAGTATAAAATAATTAGGAAAATACATTCGAATTATAAATAGAGTACATAAGATAGTCCTAAAAGGAGATAACTTTTATTACCTACTGTACTTTATATTTTTACATTTAATACTACCTATTGTTACATTGAGTATTATTATTAAAGTTTTGATTTATTTATTTTATCTACATAAAATATATACTTTACTTCACTTCTAACGAATCCTTAACGAGGGATCACATAAATCCAAACTTGATCTGGAATTTTTATATCTACATAATATATTTGAAAAGTAGAGTTCGTGAAAAAAGGGATATTAATTTAATTCTCTCAGCCCCACTCGAATCGCACGAATGTTGTCATTACCTGCACGTGAAAAGTTCCTTTTAGATAGCTTCGCCGCAGGTACTGCGCATCTGTCAGTTGTTCCAGCTGATCCATTGCCACTATTTCCCAACTTATTCTCGCACGAACACAAATTCGTTGTAATGGTTCCAGCGGTTCTCCTCAGAATCCACTCCTGGCTTGAGGTCGGTCGCTCCGCCGGCGGTGCCGCTGCCGCAGCTCGCAGTCAATTTGAACCCATTTTCTTGCAGCATGTCGAACGCTTGCTCGATGAACGAGTGCTTCAGGAAGAATCGGGACGTGTACCGGTCCGCCAATCCGTGGTCGGGATCTCGGGACTCGTTCAGCGTTTCCCCAAACACGTCTCTACACAACGTCACCTTGCCGCATACCAAAATTCGCGACAACTTGCGGAACTTAACATCTGCGAGGCCATCACGGCCAAAAGCAAAGCTACCTCTGTAACCGACAGTGATGCATCCTTTCTCGCGATTCGGCGGACGAGGATCAGATTCCTTGACGGCGTTCTCGAGACCCGGCAGCCGGTAATGTTTGGCTTCCCGCGCGAGTCTCTTGTGTTCCCTGAAGCACTCGGGCAGCACCAGTCCGCCGTCACGAAGGTAGTCAAGCACGTACCGGAAGAGGACGCCGTCGCGGTCGAAGAAGAAGCGGCCGCGGGCGTCGCGCGGATGTTCGGCGTTGGCGATGGCTTGCGCGGGTAGTGAGTCGGGTTCGCGCAGAAGCGTTTCGCGCGTGGTAGCGTAGTGCACGCCGCCCACGTTGAGCTCGAGCACGTCGGGCGGCGCGTCCGCCATGGTTGGGGGCTGAGGGCGCAGTGCCGCGGCGGCTGCGCGCCTCCGCCCCCCCTGACCCACTTACCGCGCGTCTCGGCGCCGCGCGACCCATCAATAACGCACGCCCGGGTTACTGACTTGAACGTAATTATTTCCTACCCTTCTGAGCGAAAACTCCTCCGTAAAAGCCTTCAAGGTCAACGTCTATTGTTAGCTAACAGATGGTTTATTATTTCTTGATAATCGGAAGAATGTTCTAACATTTCAGTGGTTTCCGGCGTTTGCGGCGTATATATAGGCGCACACGTTATTATAGTGTGATGCACATAAACTCCAAAGGCTTTTTATAGAAATCTAAACAAAGTTGTTTATTTATTCTGTTGAGAAACTTCGTAAATTTTACATTGTTATGTGCGTGGTCTCCAAAGGATTAATTTAAAACTTTTTAATTATTCCTCTCCAAAGTTAGAAACTCGACACGTTAACACGCATGAAAAAGTTTGTCTAAGCTGTAGCGGACACACACGCCGAGGATTAAGGTTAACCAAAGACGTATAAAGCACATCAGGTTGATGTTGTAAAATTTTACAGATTTTGACTGGCCTGGATACAGAGCTAACTATTGTGGCAAACGCACGAAAGTGTAAAATGCTGAACTTAGTTTTCAAGAACAATTTGTTTATGAGCGGCGACAAACTCGCTTGGAGTCTTAATTGTCCAGCGTTTACCGTCATCACCGCGCAACATTTCTTCAAATATTAAATAATCATAATAATCATTAACGCGACAATTTTGACTCATTATACGTGTAATGAGGAGACCCCTTTTATTACAGCCTCGGGAAATAAGCTTTTTGTTTTCGCGTTGGTGGCACGACGCCGTGGATGACGAAGGCAAAATGTAATTAAAATTTTATGAACACAACTTTTGTTAGGCCTTTTCTCGCTTAATTAATCGTTAATTCATGAATAAAAATAGGAATTTCATGTTCACCGTATATTTTTAAAATAATAAATAACATAAATATGCAAATATTCCGGATTTGTAAATCCTTTATTGGTATAAATTAGACGTGAAATGATTATAATAAATCTCGAACCATTTACAATTATCAACAAGGTTTCAGATATTATAAAAGGACTTATTGCTAGAATTATAGCAGGTAGGATACGTATTTCTAAAACTTTGAGATAAATAAACACTTACTTAATAACATATCAAAACTATAGCAATAATTATATTGTCGTAACATACTGTTTAATACCACATAGGATTTTCAAGATTCCGATTTCTCTCACAGGAACAATATTTTCTCGAGATTCCTGGATATCAAGATTTCCTAATTTCGAAACCTTCGAAAGTGTACTCGGCGATTTCACTTCCATTCCTGTAGATCACTCTATCGATAATACTGTTTGGACTGCCCGTTGATCTGAGCCAGATCACCCTGAAATGAAACATAGGCCATCTGACTACATGTGGTGAAGAATCGTCAGACGTTGTAACTCGCCTTTGTTCACCGTTTCGGAGATTTCATTCTCAATTTCCGCACATACACACACAACCAAGCAATTAACACTGCGTCATACACATTTTGGAACAGACCACGCATTCTGAAATATTTTGGGGCAGGCGAGTAATGACCCATTCTAAGCGTGAAAATAACAATAAAGTTAGTATTATTTAGAAAGGTATTATTTGTCGGCCACTCACACGTGCTCCATCGTACTAGTTAAATATGCATGTAGTTTTTTTTATAACATCAAGTAACGGGACGAACAAGTCGTGCGCCTGATGGTAAGCTACATGCCTGTTCGTAACAGTTTCAGTATCACTCAGAGCTTTAAATTGCAAAGATCTGAAGGGCACTACCAGGTTCGTCACCTTGAGACATAAGTTGACAAGTCCCATGTGCCTGTAATTTCACCAGCACCCTTACCCTTCAAAACCGGAACACAGTAATGCTGACATAACTGCTTGGCGGCAGAAATAGGTAAGGTGGCAGGTTACTGTGTAGAGTTAGACAAACAATATTGTTTCTGACAACTACGCTGTAATAACATAAGCCCATTAAAGCTTCTATTATTTTTGGTAACTCCTCACCCCCTGATACTTATAAATATTTCGTCTTATTAGCAGAAAATATTTTTTCCCGATTGCACCACTATAATAATAAAATATATACATAATCTACGTATGTTAAGGCAAAGGTCTTGCTCGAGTCGCGTTTTCCTAAAGAAATACGTGCTCGTCTCAGGCAAATTGATTTAGTCAATAATATTGTTGAATGGGTACCAAAATTCTCCATTTTCATGCACTGGTAATGCATGACGGTAGGGGCAAAAGGGAACAAGCCTTAAACTTATAATTCAAAGAAAGTTTTTTTGTATAATAATTAAGTGACGGGACAAACAAGTCGTGCGCCTGGTAGTAAGCCACACGCCTGCCCATAACAGTTGCAGTGTTACTCAGAGCTTTAGATCATAAAGATTTGGGGGCACCGTCACTGCGCCTGTCGCCCTGGGACATAAGTTGACAAGTCTCATGTGCCTGTAATTTCACCAGCACCCTTACCCTTCACAACCCGAACTATTACTGCTTGGCGGTAGAAATATGTAAGGTGGCAGTTCTTCCCTTGACGAGCTCTTTCATAAGGAGCTCCACAGCTACTAAAAATCCCCATTAGCAAGAAAGATTGCGCGATACCTCTTTTTACACTCTGTAGAATCGATAGTGATTGAGCAGTAGAGTTTTGTACTTTAAAGACTTTGAAGAAGTCCAAGGACAAAAAAATGATAGCACGAATATTACGTTCTCCACACATGCACGTCAATATGAAATCCATAAGGCATTATGAGATTTGGTTGAATGGTGATACTAGGTTTTACCCGCAAATCTACTTGTGTTTGGGACAAAAGGCATTCTATCAGCTAATATTGTGAATAAACTATGTACAGGAGTTTTGCGACATAGAGTAAAAAACATACAATCTAATAATAATAATGTTCCAGGCAACCACATCAATTACCTGGTCTCAAATTTGAATTCCATTGGAATTCCTTGTACTATGAGTATCTCACTCCGGGGCTCTACCTAGAACACCCAGACCAGAATTAATTTAGAAAAATTAATTTACTAAACTGGACCCACCGCGACCCAATGTCGTCAACATAAGCGTGTGAATATTAGTGAGAATTCTTTAGCCGGTAACTTTGTGTGCGTAACAATGCAAAGTAATAAATAATTGAGGTTATCAGAGCAAAAGTGCTATAACCCAGATTATTTCTTTTTTACTGTTACTTTAAATGATACTAAATTATATAATTATTTTATATTTGGATGCAATTTTCATGTATAACAATAATAATTATTAAATATTATTTTGCTACGTTTGTCTATGCTAGTTGTTACTCGTAATTTGAAATCGTGTCTAATCAAGGACTAAATTTAGCACGCTTTCGAAAATTAAGACAAACACAATTAGAATAACAAGAATAAAAATATAATAAAACCATTGACTTACAAATAAATGGACGATGGGTCTAATACAAAAACCACGAAAAAAATGTCCCAAGTCAACCTATTCGAAATTTAAATTGTTATGTCATCGCAGTATCGCGCTGTCCGTAGAACAAATGAAGACTAAAGCGGAGTGTCGCGCTCTGTATACGATTTTAGCGCCTTACAAGTGCGGACACTTTTTAGCGCGGACCCGACGTCCATATAATTGTAAGTCAATGAATAAAACGGTCATTCTCGGACTAGTGTTCACTGCCCAATTTCCGTGCCAATTTTTGTTATTTAAGTATTCGATTTTTCATCATGCAATGCATTATTTGATATTCCGAATATTATATCGTGAAATATCATTTATTAATTACACGATAATATACTTGAAATTTAAATAATAAAATTTGCCACGGAAATTCGTTGTGAACGCTAGTCCGATAATGACCGAAAATATAAAATATTTTTTTATCTGTGTTTGACAATTGACATAATTCAACAGCAAAGACACGAAATTGATATTTTTTTGGGAAAAATGACGTAATAGAAAAATCACGTCGTATAGGAAGTTGCCAGTTTGCCAAACATATTTTTCGATTTAGCCAAGTTATTATTGCAGGTGCGAAATGTAAAATTGAATTCAAATTAGTTGCGAAATAGCTTTCAGAAACCAGAGGTAAAAAGAACGGGCAATAGTGATGCCGTCACAATTGACAGTGCTACACAAGCTACGTAACTTTAGTAGCAGTAGAGCTCTTTGTGAAAGAGGTCGTCCGGGGTACTGTCAATACAACACCATACCTATTTCTGCCGCCAAGCAGTAATGTGAGCATTACTGCGTTCCGATTTAGAGCATTACTGGGTTAGGTGGGTGCCGGTGAAACTACAGGCACATGGAACTTGTTATACATAGGGCTCACTATAAGTTTCCGGAACTGGTCACTTACACTACATAAACAATATTTAAAAAGTAATTACAACATTTGAAAATGGAATTCTTTGGCTGTAGAATACAGTTTGTTTCATCTGACTGCCACTTATTTTTACATTGTGGCGTCAATTTAGAAATTGGTTGTCTACATCACCATGGATTTATCTCGTGAAAATTTTCGTAGTATGATTTTCTACGACTTTAAGTGTAATATAACAGCTCAGCGGAGCTTCGCTCGGCTTCTTTTCGACGACTATTTATAGCTGGTTTGCAGAATTCAAATGCGGTGGTGTGAATCCCGTCCACTGCTGTGAACAACATAAACATCGATGCTGTGCGCCGTATGATCAAAACAAACCGGCATGTGACATATCATGAGATTCGGGCATCTTTAGGCATAGGCATGAGTCAAATACAATAAATACTACACAAACATTTAGGTATGAAAAAGCTGTGCTTTCGGTGGATCCCACACAATGTGACTGAGGCTCAAAAACGGGTCGCGTCACTTGGTGCAGTGCTATGCTTTTCAGATTCAACGAAGGGGCGTCAAATTTGGTGTGGTACATAGTAACGAAGAAAAGACGAAACAGGGATTTATAGTTATGATCCCAAAACAAAGCAGCAATGTGCAAATCGTGTGCGTCTTTCGAGATGAAACCAACCAAAGTGGCGCGCGTGCAAAGTGATGTGATGAGATGATTGCTTCTTTTTTTAATAAAACTGGACACGTAGCTACTGTTGCTTTGGAGAATCGTTGTACCGTGATTAGTGATTGGTACACGACCATTTGTTTGCCGGAAGTTATTGACAAACTCCGTAAATATAACCGTAAACGCCGTAACATCTTGCACCACGATAATGCCAGTTCTCACACGGCCAGACAGACAAATGAATTTTTGAAGGTGAACAACGTTGACCTTATGAGCCATCCCGCGTACAGTCCCGACCTGGCATCTTGTGACTTTTATTTATTTCTAAAAATTAAGAACCAGTTACACGGTCAACGATTTTCATCACCTGAAGGGGCTGTCGAAGAGTATGAAAAATATATTTCAGAGATTGTCACGGAGGAGTCGCATAAATGTTTTCAAAATTGGTTCATTCGTATGAAAAAGGCATTAACGCTAACGGAGAATATTTTGAGAAACAATAAATCCGTTTCTGACAATTTCTGACCAAAAAATACTATATATTTTTTTCTTGTTCATTCCGGAAATTTATAGTGCGTCCTACGTATATGTCTTAGGGTGACGGGCATATTGCCAGTGGCCCTCAGATCTTTGCGATTTAAAGCTCTGAGTGGCACTGCAACTGTTAGGGATAAGACGGGACATTTCGTTCTTGATATCATGGTACTCGATACCATAATTGGTAATTTTGCTAAAATGCGCCACTGACATCAATTATTAATATTTCGGGTGCAGCCGACTTGCAGAAAAATTAATTTTCAATAAATTCATTCATATAAGAGATTATTAAGTCAAACTGTAGTGAACCTTCCACATTACAAACATCCGAAGCATATAAGGATTGTATTTCTTAACACTCAGTACCTCAACTACACTGGAAAGCTGAGCGCAGTGGTATTGATAATAAAGACACTTTTGAGTATAATGCACACCGGCCTCGCGCCGTGTTTTGACGCTCACATTTGCATAATAATGAAAGGCAAGTGAGACGATCAGCGCTATGCAATGCGAATCTGTGAGTCCGTACACGGCCCGCGGCGGGCGCGCACACAAACAAGCGCGCTGCTACGTTTGTTTGGAGTTACCATACCTGTTTTATTATACTATGCTTTTTATCTAGAACACACAACTTCAAACTGAAAACTTTGTAAAAAAGGTAATAATTTAACTCAAACCAGAACTGAAGAAACTTACATTTGGTGCACCTTTTGCGGAGGCCCCTGCATGTGTCCGACTACGGTTCCTTGTCTAGTGTTCTTGCACCACCCTCGCACACCGAGCTTGTCAGCTTGCTCCTTTGTGTACTACAATAAAGCAACATTTATAAAAAAAAAAGTTAATAAAATATGCCTTAACTGGACATGAAGTTGAGGAAACTAGTGTGTTCAATCGTACAAGGCGTGCAGGCCACCTCAGGGATAGTATACTATTTGTGATATGGGCCTCAAAACCTACGCACGAAGCATTGGCGACCTCGGTAGTCCAACGGTTTCTAGGAGGTCCCGGGTTCGGAACCAAATTGGGAAAAAACTTTTCTAAATTGGTGCTAGTCTGGGTGTTCTGGAACGTGCCCCAGAGTGAATTCTGGTGCTCTGGTATTCATAGCACAGGGAATTTCTTTTAGTTGTTTTTCTGTCGTGACAGGGAGTCTGGAGCTCCAGTAGGTGTTCTTGGCATTCCAGTTGTCACCTACTATAACGCTGCTAACTGCAGCCGAGACCTTACTGCATGAAGTTGATAAAGACTCCGGCATGCAGATAGTCTCGGCTGCATGAAGTCGGTTTCAACTACATGTCGATAATGTGTGAAGTCGTTATCCGAAACTTCTTTTGTATGAAGTTGTTAACCGACTCATGCTGCCGATATTGATTGCATGCAGTTAATGCGTGAAGTCTTATCAACTTATGCATTCGGGCTTATGCTTAGCAACTCATGCAGTCGGGTCTCGGCTGCATGAAGTTGATTAGATTTTACGCATTAAGGCAAACATGCAGTCAATCTGTAAGCAGCTTTATAGTAGGTGACAAAGTTCCAAAGGAAATAAAGTCCTTTTGGTATAGTCCTACTCTACATCAACGATTTCCCACATGCTATTGGTTTGGTTATATGATAATTGTATACAGTTTGCGGACAATACAACCCTTATAATAAAATGCTAAAACGACTTTTAACACTGATATAAATAAAGCTCTGAAAGACGTAATAAGTTGGATGGACATCAATGACTTGAATATTAATATAAGTAAAACTAAAGCTATAACATTTAGATCTTATAACTCAACCATTACAACATTGATATTGTAGATGAACTTGACACATTTAATTTTCTTGAGTTAATAATCGACAAGAACCTTAACTGGAAGGAACAGATCAAACAGATTTGCATGAAGTTAAATAGATTTGTCTACGCTCTACGAAGACTAAGGCAAACAGTCCCTCTACAAGCTGCATTGTAGGCCTATCACGGCTATATTTCGTCCGTACTCAGCTACGGTCTTGTACTGTGGGGCAACTCAGTAGTCATAGAAAGTGCTTTCAGGGTCCAGATGAAGAGTTTTCAAGCGATTTGAGGTGCGTGATTCGATGACAGTTGCAAACTGCTGTTCAAAAGGCTAAACGTTTCGCCTTTGCCATGCGTGTACATTAGGGATATTTGCGTATTTGTCAACTTTCATCATCAATATTTTAAAACACGAGGTGAAGTCATTCAATGGCAAACTAGTGCAAAAATTATGTATCTTTACTACCAACCTCACTGTCATAATTTATAAGGATAACTGCTTCACAATGTGTATTTTGACACATTGCTTCCATAGTAATAAAGAATTACATTATTATCATTATATTAATTTGAAACTATAGAGACTAAACATTAAATCCCATTAACATTTGTCATAATTTATAAGAATAACTGCTTCACAATGTGTATTTTGATACATTGCTTCCATAGTAATAAAGAATTACATTATTATCATTATATTAATTTGAAACTCTAGAGACTAAACATTAAATCCCATTAATATTTACACATCATACCTAATTTTACTTAAGACCTATGTAATTACCATATTCTAGCAAATAAACATATATTCTATTCTAGTGCACTACAATATGTTGGCAAAGCTGTGATCATTGTTTATGTTTATGTATGAAGTATTTGGTTTTCATATTTTGTCATGTGAACAGCTAAGGTAAAGAAAGATTTACACATTATTTTTATTTGTTCTGTATTTCCCAAACAATTAAAATAGACATATTTTAAGCCAGACTGAAACAGACATCTTTAAGGAGACCATATACCAACCATGTCCACATTGTCATATTGCTTTATGCATTGTGGAAACATTAACTTTTAATAAAAATAATCTTGATTATTAAACATGAAGATAGAACACACAGAAAAATTCCTTCGACCTGACAGGACATGAACCGGCAACCACACTGTACTGTAGCATCAACCTGCCAACTGAGCTACAGCTCGAATCAATAGGTCAATGAAAATTTTCTGTATCTTTGTTTTGGATTTTTCAGTTTCAAAAATCTGTAAATTACACCTTGTGAGAGTTTTATCAACTGTCAGGTGGAAGGAAGGAAGGAGGTTTTCTTTTCGTTCAATTTTTATAATAACAAAGTAGTGAAGTTGTTTCACATAAAATATATGAATTTCACAGTGGTAAAACATTGTGAAATTCAATATAAATAAATCAATAATAATCATCTTGATTTTTGTTATTAGTCTTTACTTCATAATTTAGTGAAGTTTCAAAATCAGTAATAAGGTTTTGAGATTAAGTCATTACCTTAAGAAAGTTAATTTTATCTCTTTTGAAGAACAAAACTTCAAAATCAAATGTATCTATGGGAGCTTCAACGGAGACCAGTACATGTCCAGGGGGACATTTATGTTTGGTACACAGTGCACCCATATTCAAGTTCCTTTTTAGTTTTGTCACTTTATTATTCTATAAATTATATTGGAACAATAACTTTTTACTACTCATGATTTTATGAGAGAAAAAATTAATTGTGGAGAATAATTTTCGTCATTGGTGCGAAATTCTCAGGATTCTTATTTAAAAAAAAATGCACCTATTATAGAAACATAACCTCAATTTGGAAAATAAGTTGGTTTGAGTTTGAAACAAAGAATACTTCTATTTCTCTGTGACATATGTTCATAAATAGAAAGCAGAAAATTACTTTGGGCATACTTACTGCATACCTTTCGAAAGAATACGCCTTGTACAGTTCCGAAAACTTCAAAATCCACAGCTTCCAACGACATTGCTGCAGCCGGAGTATGAATTCTTACAATATTTGCAACAGTCGCCAGAATGAGTAATCGAATCATTAAAAAACAACGCGGGTTTTACAATAACGTTTCGAAATTATTTCCTTTTGCATTGCATATTACCTATTTATCTAGTCCACAGACAAGTTAAATTTATGTTCGGCGATCGCAGCAAATGCGCTTTAATCTTTGGAAACGAAATAGAGCAATACGTAGTTTATGTTGCTATCTCGGTTTAGCAAAATGAAAAATCTCTGAAAATGAAGCAGTCGTAGTGTTTGCGTTTCGTTATTGCAAAGTGACGAACGAATATCATATTTGTTATTAAGGGAAAATAAAAAATCTGCTATTCAATTTAGAATTTCTAATACCAAAACGCTTTTTGCTTTTTGACAACTGTCAGTCAGCTAAAAGTTCGTCAGAATCAGTGAGCAAGTTTTGTTTATTTTCGCGTTAAATTACCAATTATAAGTGTTAATACGAGTTTAATTTTGTTGCAGAAACTTACGACATCCTTTTCTATAATAGTTTTAATTATGGCACTCTTCTGTGGCGGAAAGTATGTTTATTATTATGTAATCGTGTTGGGTAGGTGAGGTGTAATGTTGGTAAAGAGAGTGTAAATAAGGATCAAACGTTGCAGATTGGGTGGCAGATCGGTGCTGTCGACTATTGGTAGAATTCCTTGCATTCTGAGCAGAGCTCAGTACGCTCAAACGGCCGCTGGAGTGCCGAAAATAACGATCCAAAAGGCCGAGCCGCCAAAAGAGGAACATTATGATAATAAAAATGAGCGTCTTAAAAGGCCTTTATCACCACATCTTTCTATTTACGCGTTCCAGATGACGAGTACTTTGTCAATTACTCATCGTGCTACAGGTAAGTTCACAATACCTTATGTAAATGTGTACAGGGTCTCCCAAAACTCAACGATAACCTGAGAACAGGCTGTTGCCTAGTTTGTAACAACCCAAAAAAAAAATATTTAAAAAATCAGAGTCATGGTTTTTTTGCGATATAAGCATTTTAATAAAAAATCTTGAAAATGTACGACCTGTACGCCATTTTTAAGTACTTAATTTTAAAGCACCCCGTTCTCCACATTTGAACCCCCTAGAGTTTTTTACAGGGGTTGTCTGATAGAAAAAGTTTAAGCAAAACAGTTATCAAACGTTGCCAAATTATGATGAAGAATCACGGAAGCTGTACAACAGATAAATTTACGACAATACGCACGATTGGTGAAAAGGTCATTTTTAAGGTGTTGCCGTGCATGTATTGATGCCAGTGGAAAACAGTTTGAGCTCTTGCTGTAGTCTACAGACTAATAATTACTTAACACATTAAAATTATAATCATTTATTCATTACTTTTATTTCAATTCCTATATCTGTTGAGAAATGTGGAATATTGAGACAGTTTACCTCACTCAATCATGCTTACCATTTTTACCAGTCAGTCTAACTCCGACTACATGGATATGAAACCTAAATTGACTTTAGAGGCACTGAAAGTCATTTTTACTTAGAAAAGGTAACCTTTTTAAATTGGCTTCTTTTTAGAAAAACCAAGATAATTTTTTCCAAGAAGCATGACGTGGAAGGTTCCATTTTAGAATCTTGATTGGTTGTGCCAACTTTTGGAAGGAGTTGCTATGGTAGTCTAGGTACATATTTTTTACAGTATGGGATGTCAAAAAAAACCTTGAAAAAAACATTGCTACAAATTTCGAGAAAAAATTAAATACATTATTTTTTTGTGCTGAAACTTCAGCAATTCGAGTTTTCTTTGGAACTGTGTTCATTAGCTGGGCTATTTAGGTAACCGTTATAAAAACTAGAACAGCAAAATTACCAAATTGGTAATTGTTATACTTAAAAATGATGTACAGGTCGTACATTTTCAACATTTTTCATTAAAAAAAACATGACTCCGATTTTTAAAATTTTTTTTTGTCAGGGTTGTTACAAACTAGGCAACATTCTGTTCTCAGGTTATCGTTGAGTTTTGGGACACCCTGTATATGTATTACAGCCATGATTCTATTACAATAATATTATGACTATTTCAAAGTTGGAACACCTAGTGAAGAAATTTTATGTATCATGTCTATAGACACTTATTACTTTGCAGTTAATGCATTATTTGTACTTATGTTTTATTATTTATGTACTATGTATGACATTACTACCAGAAGTTTATAAATTTGTAAAACTGTAAAATTCACAACTCTTGTTTATTAAGTGGGCTTTGTAATATTGTAATCATAATGTGCCTATAAATGTCAGCTCAGTTATAAGATAAAATTGTTCTTGTTCAGAAGGTTTTATGTCAATAAATAAATAAAGTACACTCATAGCCCCAGATTAGGGAAACCCTGTATTGCGGGTGCCATGAACACACACATAGACAACCTCCAATTACACCAAAACTCACAAGAGAAATAAATATAGGTCAAACAAATATTTCCCGAACTAACCCCAGATGTACCGTTCAACTGTGGAGGCAGTATTATTTATATGTTATAATCATTGCTTTAACATTTTTTTATTAAAAATCATTCTTTGTAGGTATGGCACTATCAGCATATACCTTCGGCTTGGGAATTGGGGCCCTTGTGTTGCCAAATGATGTTTCTCACTACATCGCTCTTTTAGAGAATGTTTCTCCGGCAGTACTTTTTCTGGCCAAATTCTGCATTGCAGCACCATTTGGATACCATTTTGCTAATGGAATCAGACATTTATACTGGGATACGGCTAGAGGCCTAACACTCAAAGAAGTCTACTCAACGGGATATGCAATGCTTGGGCTGGCTACTCTCATTACCATAGCAATAGCAGCTTTATAAATAGAAAGGCTTATGTGTACTTATTTTATGTATTAATTTAATTTATTGAATTTGTAAGTGATGTAATAAATTGTTCACATCGGGCTTTTTGTTTCACTAATAATTTACCATACTCGTAAATGAACTTGTATGAGGACTTAACATTTATTGGCATTCCTTGTTCCAGCGCGACCGTAGTCGAATTTTTTAAATTTGATTACTCTGGTAAAAAGTAGTAATTTAGTCAGTCTGCTTTTTAAAAGTCATAAGGGTATTTTACTGTTCATGCTGGAATAAGTAAGCTTATTTCAGCGGCACCATTCCCAAATCTCAAGAATTACACCACCCAGCTTAGATCTGATTGCACAAAGAGTTGTCATTTAGTCGATTCTTATTGTAATAAAGACAAATAATTTAAAAGAAACAGAATTAATTTTAAACTTTGCTTATATTATGCACACAAACTGAAACTTAAAAGTTAACATTCGGTTTGCCGGAAAGTGCGCGAAACTGAATTCATGCCCTAGTTTGCCACCCATAGAGGTGGAATATTTTCTTCTAATTTAAATAAATAAATAAATATTAGACAACATCACATACATAGCTCTGATCCCAAAGTAGCTAAAGGACTTGTGATATGGAAATCGGGAACAACGACGGTACCATAAACAACCAGAATCCTTAACAATATAGAAAAATTAGTTTCTACACTGACCCGGTGGGGGTTCGAACCCGGAACCTCAGAGATGGTGACATTATGAAAACCGGTGTGCAAGCCACTCGATCACGGAGGCCGTCGAAATGGGACCAATACGTAGGTACCTACTCTTATTCCAACAAAAAAGAATCCTCAAAATCGGTTCATATTATTTTTCGTACGATATCAACGAGCGAAGTTATATATTAAGTTTATAGGTTGAATTTCTGTCGCTGCCGCTGTTGAAGGAAGTACTTTCTTACAGTTTTTCTAAGTGTAGATATGCGAACCAGTTTGATACAGTATCGTAATGTAGGTACCACGCCATGATTTACTCTCTAAATCCGGTGATAAGGGTTAGACATTTAACTTTATCCGTTAGGCGTTTGTGTCTGTTAATTGAAGGAGCGATCGATGAAATGTTAGTGCCTCAAAGATTGTAAAGAACAATCGATTAAAATAAAATCATTTGAGCTCAAATACAAAAAGAATCATTTGAGCTTAAACACAAGGTAGTTGCTGTAGTACAGTGTTGATTTTCGTGCCATTTCCATCATCAGATCAGCTCTAGGTCACCATGACGTTTTATTTTCATTGGAATTACATCTATGTGTAAAGTTTGATTGAAATCGGTTAACGGAAAATGAGTGAAATGCAATAAACTAGATTCATTCCCCAATTTGCCACGCTTAGAGGTCGAAATTTTTCTTTAAATTTGAATAGTGCCACTACTGAAATACCCGCTGTCCAAGGAAAAAATAGTAATCGAAATCGGTACAAAAATGTCGGAATAATCGCATAACATACACACACAAAATACAGTTGAAATGAGAACCTCCTCTCCCTTTTTAAAGTCGGACAAAAAGGGGCCAGTTTACCTTTTGATTAGAGTCAGTAATTTTTTTTTATTTTGGGTTCTTTCTAATTTGCAAAAATATTTAATAGATTATGTTCTACCTTATCGACGCTAGACAATTTAATGTGAACCAGAAGCAAATAATTCTTCCAAATTCTTCGCACACTGAAAACATGTACATACAACAAAATAAATAAAAAGTACTTTAAATGAGTATTTTATCATTTTTAGTCAATCTTATGTCGATGAGATGGAATATTGGTGTGTGTAGACTACGGAACGATTAAAAAAACATTAGCATCTTTGAACTTAGTTCTAGACATGGGTAATCCCGAGTCCGATAGATGATCCAAATCACCGAATCCGACTCCGCTGTGGGTACCGACTCCTCTTAATGAATCCGACTCCTCTTATCGGTATCGGCTTAATTCACATTGAGTCTCACAACTCCAAACGTAAATCGCTCCGGATTAAATTCAATCAATGATCGAGTTTTTAATGTATGTCGGTATAAACATAGATTTTTTCATTCCACTGCGTGAAAAGTATTTGAATTGAGCATTTTAAGATAGGTATTTTAGTTAACTAAAATACCTATCTTACCTATCCCGTGTTGGTGCGATTGAACGCTTTTAAAGATAGTTAGAGAAGACACACAAAACCTTAGCACTTACAATCATCGAACTCAGCCCATATTCATTCTTTGGAGGTTGGTGGTTGCGAACTCTGCACATGAGGTACTGGAAGTTGGTTGACGCGGGCTGAGTAAATTTCCATCGCAATATTTTTTTTACTAAGTAATTAATAGGTATGGACATTTCGCCTGTTTACTTTCTGGTTAAAATTATCCCAAATGAAACTTCGCTTTTTTCGCATCGATTTCATGTTTTTTTGTCCTTACCGTAACAATTTGTAAAACAGTAAAAATAAAGTTTCAATAGAAAATCGAATATAGGTATACATAAAGTTTACGAATTAAGAATGTTTATTTACACATAATCTGAACATAACACAAATCTAGTAGGCCACAATCACAATTCGTCCAATATTTACACAAACCAATTGTAATGAAACATAAAAATAAACATAAATTAAAACTCCGGGAAGCAAATTACTTAAACTTTCGCAAATTGTAATTACAATACGTTTCCAATAACTCAAACGTAAACAAATACCGACAAAATTATAATGTAGTTGGAAAAAAGCTCGAGCGAGCTATCAATGTTATGAATTACATGATGGTCTTAAGAGCTATAAGCAGGGAATAAAAAATAACGAGAATGGACACTCCGCCCCTCCATAGTTTTAGATACCGCACCACGCCCCGCATATTGAAGGTCACATTGACTGAACGGCAACAAGGCTGTTTTCGAACCGTCTTCGCGCTAAGACTCGAATATAGTTTTCATTTATTCATTACGAAACTTGTACGTTAATATATAACATCGTTGTACGTTACTATTTATAATGGTCATGAGTTGCGCTTTGTACGGCTGTTTATCCATCATCCAAACGGAATAAAGAGAGGTAAGTAAAAAAACTTATGTCTGAGACTCATTCGGTTATTGTTTTCTTCATTTATTTAGTGCAGAGTAATATGTAATACAGATTTATTATATCAATACAATGAGATGTGATATAGTAGGCAAGGTTCTCAAATTTTCAATTTGTATTGCCGATAAATACCCATATGTAATGAATATTAATATATTTAATAATTATTAACCAAGTAATGATAAAGTTAGACTTTTAAAAGTGACTGTCCAAAATATAACATTTCAAGTGCGTTTACTTTTTTTTTCATAAACCTTTAGGATTATTCTAGTTAGTAAATTAATGAAAAACATATTATTATGTTGATATAACAACCTACTGCACATGTCGAGGCCTATAAATCAAAGGTAGCTAAATCCAAGTCTTGTCAAATATTCAGGAAGCCACAAAAATCGATAACTTTTTCAAGGTATCAATAATATTCTATATTTTAAACCAGATTTATAAAGAACGAGCATATTAATAATAATCTGAATTTAAAATAATAAAACTCCCTCTATATTTGAGTACAGAGTGAAAATAAAAACGCATTCAGCTGTCTTTCATTCCAACTATCAGACATGGCTGTATTTGATTCGGAGTAACTGGATATAACTGAGTTTGATATTGACAGGCACCATTTTGAGTTCTTCCGATTAGTGATGTTCTTATACGTTTGATAAAGTCAGAGAATTAGACTCAGTGTCGTATCCCAGAATTCTACTCAATGCTCAAGTCACGATTTGAGCAGACTTTAGTATGATTTCAAGCACTGGAAATACGACTCTAATGGCAAAGACTTGAGTATGATTTTCAGTGCTCACTGCAATACTCAATTCCTGACTTGAGTATTGAGTAGAGTTCTGGAATACGAACCTTAGGGTCGTATTCTAGAACTCTACTCAATGCTCAAGTCAGGATTGCAATTGAAACTCAAGCACTGGAAATACGACCCTAATGGAAGGGACTTGAGTATGATTTCGAGTGCTTTACACCATACTCAAATCCTGACTTGAGCATTGAGTAGAGTTCTAGAATACGACCCTAAGAGAACGGACACTTACCGCCCCTTCCTAGTTTTAAATACCACACCACGCCCCGCACATTGCTGGTCACAATGACTGAACGACAACAAGGCTGCCAGCGAGCCGTTTTCGCGCGAAGACGGCATTGATATTTGAATATAGTTTTCATTTATTGATTACGAAACTTGTAAGTTAATATAAAACATCATTTTACGTTACTATTTATAATGGTCGTGAATTGTGCTGTGTGCGGCTGTTTATTATCATTTTCCGAAAGATGAAACGAAGTAAGTAAAAATAACGTATGTCTGAGACTCATCCAGTTATTGTTTTCTTCATTAATTTTCTGCAGAGTAATAATACATGTACGCATAAAAAATTCAGATTTATTGTATCAATGATTTCGCGAATTTTCTATTCGTGTTGCCGATAAATATTACGTAGGTAGTGAATATATCTAATTGTTAACTAAACTTGGACAAGCAATTTCAAATAACTTGGTGACCTTACTTAAAAGTACATGTCCGAAATGTAACATTTTAAGTGCTTTTAATATATTTTTGAAATAAATCTGCAATATTACTCTAGTTAGTGAATTAATGAAAAATTTAATAATATATCGATATAAATAACTAATAGACATGAATAATGATTAGGATTCTATTAATAGAATCATACATAACAGATTCGCGATAGTGCGAGAAAGTGATGGGTAACCCTGCCACTTCACGCACACATTTGCGCGTGTGCAGATAGCGCCTTGCTGTATGTAGTAGTAGTAGGTAAATTTTGTTTATTTTTTTCGACCGTTGTATGGAGTGTCCGGGGTGTGATAAAGTAAAAACAATTATATTGTTTATTTACAAATTTTAATAAATTTTCAATTAAGTAAAATAACTGCTTTTTTTGTTTATTTATTATTTCTTCCTGTTTTATATCCTGATTATATTCTTAAGACTGGTAATTCTTCTACCATTCCTTCACAAAAATTTTCTTCTAAATCATGA